ATCATGTACAGTACCTTGATAAAGACCTGAGGATAGATGAAAATATTGGTTTTCTCCAATAAAATGTTTCTAAAGTATATACATGGTATTCGTTTCATATATTCATATATATATATATAGGCCCTATATAAGCGAGAGGTCGCAGGTTCAAATCCCGTCGGAGGCATTTTATTACACAATTTCACAAAGTTATCCCGTGATTTTCAAATGAACTATAACTCTTTGATCTTGCCGACTTGGCTAGGTACCAGTTCGCTCCAGGTGATGGGTCTGTCTGGCCACCAGATGTATTGCATTTATGACAGATTATTACGAATTATTGCATTAATAATAATAACATAGAGGAAATAAAGAAATGTGGTATGTGATCGTAAATGAGGGAAAATCGAATAAATAACATTATTGCATAATTGGCAGAATTTACAGAATGATCGAAGAGCCCCGGTTTTAATCCAAACAGGAGATAATTCATAAAAATTGCAAAATAGAAGGAAACAAAGTTCGTGATATGATTAAATGGTCATCGAACTCTATACATATTTTTAAATACACGAATTTGGTTGGATGATGCCAAGATCTGGGGACGAAAGTAGGGGAAATCCCCTCCCTTATCCAATGGATTTGTGGGTGTGGACCGATTTCGTTAATATAAAGAATAGCCTGGACTACTCCCTTATGTTATTCTTTTTAATAGTTTTGTTAATTACACACCAAGTCTTCGTCAGTCTCCACCACAGATTGGAAAAAATAACTAAAACAAATATAGCATGCAATACAATAAACAAAGATAAAATACAAATATTTTTATGGTAATTAATTATACGGTACCGGTATTGAGCACCTAATGATTTTAATACATGAGGCCTTGTTCTACTCCATGACAAAATATGATATTATAATCGGACCATGTCCCACCATAGATTGTCCCTCCCTCCCGTGACTAAAAAAATCAAAGTCTGACATTGTTTATCTAAACACCTCTGACGGTTCGAGAAGAAATATTTGGCCAATATTATTGTTGCAAATTGAAAAAAATCAACCAAAACCGCCAACAACATAAGTAACATGTTATGAAAATTGCCTTCTTACAGGAGACATAGCCAATAATGATAAGTGTTTATTAGCCTAATTTATTAACTCATTTTGTCAATGCAAGGACTTTTTGAATCATAAAAAAATATGGATTCTGTTTGGTTTTATTTTCTTGAACCCAATCTGAACTTTCTTTCCGTCCAATTATGGCCATCTCGCATCCTGGAAATCCTTCACTCATACTTCATTCCAGTGCCGGTAAAATTGAGTTTAAAAGTATAGCACTTGGTGCACATAAACTCACATTCCAGTAACTCTGCGATTATGTTCCAAACTTACATTCGATGTAGGTTGTTTCCTGGCCCTTGGATATAATGTTAAGTTCCGCATTTCAAAGCCTACATTAAAAGACAAGTTTCTCTTCGGAAAAGAACTCCCATTAGAACGCAAACTTAATTAAAAGAGGAAAACATCCACAACATGATCGTGGAATTAAATCCATGACCTGATAATGGCAGGATCAGGGACGGCCCTTCCCCCGACAGAGTCGATTAAAACAGATCGGAAATACTAAAACTCGGACTCCTGCCTGCCTCATTAAGCTGCGACGTGGGGGACGGGTGTGGCGAAATAAAACCATAGACGTCATTGCCGTGTTGTACATGTACTTCCGATGATTTAAGTAGTTTACATTTCACATTAAATAGGCCTACTATTTTGTTTAACCATAGGCGCCCTAAATACTAAAAATTAAGTGATCAACCCATTCAGTGGCGGATTCAAAAGGGGTGGGGAGAAGCCGTCCAGGGCCCCCTAAATGTTTCAAATTTGTAGAAAGTTGGAGAGAAAAAAGAAAATTATTTTAAAATTTTAAGTCTGAGTGCATCCGGCTGCCAAAATCGTAAATATTCTTACCCAACCATGGTGGGGCTGAGGTGGTAGGCTTTAGACCCTCCATCTGTCAAATCCCCTCCCTGGGCCCCCCTCTATTTAAAATTCCTGGATCTCACTGCCATTCCATACATGAAGAAGGGACAGTCACGGTGTGTCAGAATGGGTGCGGGAACGAGTTTTAGTCACTCGCCATCACACAGATGGGCAGATGTAGGCGGCGCGGACAGTATCGGAATGGGAATAACTAACATTGATGTAATATACTCATATGCAATCCTATAAACATAAATATATTACAACACATTACCTTTCTTAAAACATAAATAGGTCTATCCATTATATAACGTAAATATCCTAATTAGGCGTTGAGGATTGTGGCTCAAGTTAAAAACTTGTTTATCCTTATAAGCAATTAAGAGTTTGGAATGTTTTGCTTCACACACAGTAATACCATATTTCCGCAATAAATTATACTTTTAAACTGTTTATATAACATCATGTTTTCATTATTCCTATAGTTTTACAATTTACATTTATTTTGTTTTAGGTCATCTGCCAAACTTTTACTTTAACATTTTCATATAATAATTCTCACTAGAATTTATTTTAATAAATTATACAGTCTCTGTATAAAAAATAAATCCACTATTTCTGATCAACTGTTTAGTCATGGAGCCAAGAACTAACTAAAGCTGATGCTATTAGGCATCCTCTTTTATTGTTGAACTTAGCGCCCAACTCATGACAGTCCTCTGCGCATGATAAAACAACCACACCTTTCCTATAATACGCCCGCGGATGTTTGTCGTTAACTTTAGTATTGTAGGCCTACTCTAACCATGGAGGAATTAGTTTAAACCATGTGGAATATATTGATAAATTTGTTGTCTTATATATAATTAGTGTCGTCGTTTGCGTTGGGATTAACAAAATAAAACTATACGGGTCTGGTTTGCGCGTACGTGTGTCCCCTTCGATGCAAGAAAACATTTCAACACGAAGAACCAATAAAAAACAACACCTCCCTTTAACTACTAATCTCCTGCTGCAGTGATACACAAACTAGTGCAAATAGAAAGAAAAGCTGACCTCAGAAATTAATTCATTTATAATGTAGACCTTTAATTTTCATACGTTTGGTCTGAGTTCAGAGCATTCTTAATCAGTAATTAATGGCTGTTGCTTAATTTCAATGGATGTCATGTAAAAAGATTAAACGCAAACTTCAATTTTCATACTGGCTAGAGTAATGTCATCTTTTGGCATGTTTACTTGCATTTAGGTAAGTTTGAAACGCCCTTCTTGTTGAGTCCGAGTCGAAACACTTGCTACAAAATTCACTTCAAGATATTATTTATTCTCAAAAAGGCAAAAGTAAACTGCACTAAACTTGTAGTACACTTGGGTTTAACTCTTGTACGCCTTCTTAACTTAATTTTTAACAAACGCAGGTTTCAAAGCCAAGAAAACAAACTGAAATTTATGAAAATACAGTAGTTATTAAGTTATTAAAAAATAAAGACACATTAGGACCAAAGTAATTTATTCATATATTCCCTAGTTGAGGGGTGTGTGTTTGTAAATAATGACACCATCGGGTCATTTAGTGTGAATAACCTCTATTAGATGACGTCACCGATGGCTGGCATCCCCATGAAAAGATCGTATTCTTATAAACGAGCGAGTGTTCTGTTCACACTGAAGCTGCGATGGTTTGTAGAGTAACACATTGGATATTTTAGAAGGCATCATTTTATCAAATCAACGGATAAACGTAAGTGGTTGAAATATTCAGTGTCTATGAACATAATGAATGTATGATGTTGTTTTGTGAGGCGGTATTAAACGTGAAAACTGCCCAAAAACTGGGCTATTCATATGTGTTTACAAAATACTCTGCCGTCGAGAAGCTTAGGCTGGACCAATCATCTGGCCTTGTGTCTTCTTGTTGGTAAGCAAGCTCTACCCAAGGTTTAAAACGCCACATCGGCAAGGCCTAGAAGTAGTAATAATTACAGTAGTAGTAAAACGCGTGCGTGCTGGGTAAAAAAAAATCTATCTAGGTATATACTTTGGCCTTGTTAATTGTTCAAATTTGCTTGACTTGTTTTTTTTTTTTTTTTATGTTATCATAATAATGAATTTATTTCCTATCCTAATAATACTATTACTTACTACTACTAGGCCTAGTAGTACTAGGCCTAGGCTAGGCTAGTCTCTGGGTAGACTAGCCCAGGCATATCCTAGATAGGGCGTAGGCTAGGGTCCATTTTTTGGGATGGAAGAATGATGTCTGGTTCTATTATTTCATGGTTTTTTTTTTTGTCTTATTAGTATTATGCTTATTTCAAAAATGATTAAATTAGGACTAGACTGACTCTAGGAAAGCTAGGTTAGTAGTATACAAGTACGGTATTTTGGGAGACAGTAATGAGAATGTTATTTGTTATTAAATTCATTCTTTCCTATTTTACCAACAATTGTATTGTAATTTGTTGGTGATAGGCCTAGGCCCTAGACCCCAGATATATATTGCTTTCTTTAAAAAAATAATTAATTTTATATTAATTAATTTTATATATAGTAGTGCAGTATTACAGAATTCAGATTTTTATTTTTGATGTATGTTTGCATCAAGAGTGTGATGTTTTGCCCTACCTAACACACATACTGAATACTGAGTACATTCCCAAATGCTTGCGTAAAAAAAATATAAAAGATATTTTTGTCAATAACTGTAAAGTGTCATTGATCCTAGTGAATATATCTTTAAATAAGTTTTTGGTAATTTTGGAATAATGGATATGAACATGAATGAATAATTCCCCAATGGTGTGAGGTATTTTAATATTGAACATTAAAAGCACATTTTACTTCAATTTATTATAAAATGAACAATTTTGAGGATAATGTAAAAAAGAGTACAAACTTGAAGTGCAGGTTTTATTAGCTTCAAAGGATGCTGTTGCTTGCCTTCCTCCAATCCAAGAATGTTGGATCCATATCCCGTGTTACTATTATTTCACATGACTGAAAACAACTCCATTCCATCACCTCACATTGATCACATGTTACTGATCACTTCCTGCAATTGGCTAGTTACTTGCTGTATGATTTTAAGATATAGTACCGTAATATTGTTTTTTTGATATTAAAGAAATAACAGTAGTAGTACTGGTAATATCAAAATTTATGTCGCAAATTATTACTGTATATTGGGCGCTAATAAAACAAATTCTTAAGTAGATCTGTTTTTGTATAATACCTTTTAAATTAATATTTTTGTTAGCAGATTAGTAATTTGATAAACAACATTTTACGGAATGATTAATTTTTGTATTCTTTAGATTGAGTCAATATCAGGGGAAGATTTAGGTAGGAGGCATGTTGCACCCACCTCCCTCCCCCCACATTTTGCCACTGGCCTTTTATATTTTTTAAACAAAAACTACAAAATGGAATACAATACAGAATGAATACAATATTTTGTAACAACATAAACTAAAAACGTTAAAAAAAAAAAAAAATGAACATGTATACTGGGCATCGATTAAGCATTCCCATGGTAGTTCCCCTCACTTTGCTCTATTCTGAGAAATGAGAAACTGGTGCCCCCCTCATTTTAAAAACGCTGGATTCGCCCCAAGTCAATAAATGATGGTGGCCAACAAGTTATAGTGGTTCTGATGTTAAACTTGCTTTTGAATTGAATCAAATCATCCATGATGAATCTCAAAATTACCTTAAATTTTAGCTAATCTTTCGATAACGCTTCACTGGACATTAAATTTAACAATTATCAAGTCTTCTACAGTAAGACCAACCTAAGAATATACTAGGGTAAAGTTATCTTAGTGCCCAGTGTAGTGTGCATAGTTTAATTGAATGTAAGGTGTCTCTTGAATGACATTAGCAATCAAGTGGTAGTAATACTGTACATGCTGGTACTATAAATAAGCTTTTATTATTAGCACCCAGTCTGACAATAGGAATAGCAGATCCACACCTTAAAGCCTCATGCAGTAGGCCTACAACAATAGCTTATAAAGCATTGGATCCTGTTGTAAGAGAACAACTAGTATCTTACTTTGCAGAAATATACAATTTGAAGGTGCCTTCTACTATTAGCATAATCCATGATCTGCTATAATGAAAAGCCTAGTGCTTTAAAGTTGTACAGATAAGTACAGAATAGTATAGTAATACCTATAACTGTTTATTGTGTTTACATGTACAGTATTTATAGAATATCTATTTGTAAAAAACATTTTCAAGTCTGTTGTATGGTTACAAGTGCACAGCATATGTCTTGTACTAGTTTCCCAACAGGTTTTTGATGTGTCAGTTTGTGTTAAAACAATGAAGTAACGGGTTTGCAACAGTGTTGAACCCAACAGTTGAATCTAACACTAGAAAACATTTGTTCCTGTCAACTGAGTGTAGTTTACAACATTGGCCTTTTCAAAGGGCTTCCTACCAACATCTGGTTTTAATTTCTTCCTGTTAGCCACTCACTATCGTAGTAATGCCTGGATAACAGCCTCCCTGGATACCACATCCTTTTAAAATAGATTTCACAGCTGTTTGTTGTAACTCATCTTCTAGAGATTCTTTCAAATAATTAAAGTTAATGGTAATTGGTTTTTATTTTTGTTTATTTTTAAATGGAGCTTTGTGTGCAAATTAGATGTTTTGTGAAAAAATAGACGATTTTTTTTTCAAAGAATCTAACCCACGACAATTTCCTATCTCTCTATACGGTAATCTGTCTTCCGTTCAGCCCTCTTCCTCTACAATAACACCCAGTTTAGTACTACTGTACTAAGAATAACAAGGTTTTATAATGAAGGTTAATTAAATAACCAGGGCATATATTGTGTGTACTGTAAAAGTTAAGGATGAAAAACACCAGTATTTGGTTTTCAAGGTGCACTTTTAAACTGCAACAAGGTAGCATGTTGTAACTGGCAAACATGTACTGAATGAATTCAGGTCGGCGAATACTTTACCAGACTAGACTACGGGTGTGGAAACACATCGCAGTTTTATTCTAGTCAGCCCAGTGTAATAGTCAGCAGGACAAAGACATAAAATCACACTTATTTAATTTTGAGAGAAGAATGTGCATGTCAGCAAAACAGGAATGTTGTGTCATCATTTATTGCCTTTCAATGAACAGGGTTTGTCATGGTTTTTCTAGAAATACTATCCAAACTTTTTACTCATGAATGCCTATACAACATGAGCAAAATATTTATAATGATATTTTGTCAGCAGTTATAAAAGATTCTTTTGGACAAAACTACAATCCAAAATACTTACATTATTTTGATGCCTGTTTTTTGTCTGTGTTTTTATGTTTTATAAATATTCATCAGTACTTTAGTTAAAACTACTACACCAAACCTTGGTTTAAAATAAAGAATAGCAATTTTTTTGAATAATTTTACAGGCTTTCCTCCAAGATGGAAGACAACCGACCAGCAACAGCAGCTCAGGGTCTAGTGGAGAACGTGATCAAACAGGAAACCGATATTATACCGGTAATTGACGAAGCCGGTGAAGGTGCTCACTCAGATCTCTCAACTACACCATTGTCCCCCTGCCAACAGCAAGGAGTCACAGGACACATGGTAATGGCCAACCAGGACACATTTGTCCCAGAACTGTCTGGATCTGAGAGTAAGTTGTGATTTTTGTTTGTGACCAATTTTGAAGGCACAAGTAGTGTCAATTTTTAGGAAATTTAAAGGCAGGCTCCATAGGGAAAAATTGTTTTGATGTGTTGCACAACTGATTTTTCTAAGACATGAAGAGTGTTTGACGAAAAACTCTGGAATGGTTAATGAAATACAGATTTTTGAGTATAAAAAACTCCCAGTTTTATAATCTGTATTTCATTATTTCCAAGTTTTTCCTCAAACACACAGTTTGTGTCTCAGAAAAATCAGTTTTACAATCAACATTATTTTTCATCCTGAGCCTTGATTTAAACTGAAATTGTTACATTATTTATGAAAACTAACTGTAATAATACTATCTTAAGGTTTCAGGATTTAATATTTTTTAAGCAATAACTATAAACAAATGAAAAAAAAAAGGCTCAATCAATAGATTCTCCCTTAAACACAATTTAAACATCAAATCTGGCTGACGGCAACAATCTAAACAGTTCAGATTAATTATAATGTTACAGTACTACGGAAAACACAGATAATTATTACTATATTACATTTAAAAACAAACTCAATATACTCTAGATTTGCATAAGTTACCCTGTCCATTCGATTAAACACAGATGGAACATGTGTGCTAGCTCATGAAATTGATGAAAAATGAATGACTCCTTTTTACTCCTTATTCAACCTACAATTTGAACCCTGGATGTTCTGAATCCAGACCAAAACCATATCATTGCACAACATTCTTGATTACAGTAGACTATGAAGACAACACATACAAGTACCACTGTTTGCTATTAAATATCACAATTTATTACTTCCCAATACAATACTGTACATTTGGATATAATTCATGAATTGTAAAATGGATGTAAATTCTGAGCAAATCGAGGCATTAATAATACATTTAGGTTTTAAACAGCTTTTGTTTAGCAAATAATATGTAATTTTTATTCTGCCAACTGTGATGGTTTGATATAATGTTGCAAATAAGAAATACGTTAATTCATTACAACATTCCTTTGTCGACTGTGCCTTGGATCTCAACATTCATTTCACATGAATCCGTGATCTGTAAAGCCAGCTCATGAATATGCATGATCATTGTTCAGCTGGAGTGAAAGGTTAGATTAGCCAAGCAAAAATAATACAGACTATGACCTCTGATTGACTTTTAAATGGAACATTCATGTTAATGTTGATATGTTGTGTAATGTGATGTACAACGTTCATTTCATCATGCTAATGTTCTCTACATACAGTAGTATGGATTTGCGAAGTATCTGCCTACAGTCCTTCACTTTATTAGTGCCAAGTGGCCATTTTGATTTTTTTTTTCATCTTCTTTGACATTCTCTTTAATGAATATAGTTATTGATGATTTTCCTACAGTATACTGTACCAGTTAAAACAAATTGTGTTAAAAAAAATAACTTCATACTGTATTACAGCATGTTTTATCTTTCATTCAATTTTTTTGTTTATCATAATGATGATATTTATAAAAAAAAAAATCAACTTTACTTTAAAAACTGAGTTTATGTAAACATAGAGACAGATGATTATGTTATTCCAGTTCACTTTCAACAATATGGAATATTTTTTTTTATTTGAATAGGTTTTTATTTCAAGCTTAAAATAATAATAAACTACAAAAATAACAATGTTTGTCATCATAAAGTATTTTTACTGTATAGTAGGGCCATGAGACATTTTTCTGAATATTTTTAATTATTACAGTATACTACAGGATAATACCATAAAAAAAAAAAAAAACAAGGGAAAAACATTGTATATTAAAATAAACTTTGTTGAATTTGCTAATTTGTAGGAATAAAGTTACCAACTTTCAATTGAAAAAGAATCAATTTCGATTTTGTCATTTTAATTTTTAGAGATTTTGTTTGTTTCAGAAATTTAATGGTAAAAAAAATTTCTCTATCCAAATTTTCATTTTTTGATTTTTTAATATATTTTTTAGATTATTGTACTGTATACATTACTGTTAGTTTTTTTTTTAACCAACTCCCTGGTTCAACTAGAAGACACAATACCTGGAGTTTGTTGAAATAGACTATTCAAAATAGTGGAATTTTCTTTGATATAATGATAGTTTAATATATCTTTAAAATCTCATTGCTACCTATTGGATGTGATTTACAAAACCTGTCATCTAAATCTATGAAACCACAATTACAAATTTTGTCATGACTTAGGCCAGGACAAGGACAGTGACCTGTTCCTATTGGTTGTTCTATCCCTTCAGTTGCATGGTGGTCAGGTTCTGCTTGATCAGTCTATCACCTCCAATGATTCCTCTTGACCTTCCTAAACAAATTACTATGATTCCTTTTGAATCAACAAAGGTTATGTACAGTAGGGTCATAGAGGGCCATGTTAAGGTCATCAATATATACTGTATTTTCTATCACTATAGTGTATGAAGAAAATAAATGAATATATTGTGTTTTTAAATTATTTTGTATATACCTACTGTCTCTGTTAAATGATCTACTGTAATGATGTATAGTACCCTAAATGTGTACAGTAGATATACCAAAATACTGTTAAGTAAAAAAAAAGCATTTAAAAATTAGAATAAGAAATATTTGCGCCATTTAACAGCCGCATAGTGTACAATATTAAGTAAATTTATCATCCTTGCAAAGTCTTATATTTGTTGCTGGGAGGGGGTGGGATGATGGGTCCAGTACTCTTATAATGAATTTAAAGATTTTTTTCAAGTAAAAAGTCTGTAAATAATGTGAAACCTGTTTTGATCTGTCTTATTGGAAAATGATAACTAGGCCTATTTGATTCTTAAATTGAGCAATTCAATGATTTATATATTTCAATATTTAACACTGCACTTACAAAGTAAGTACATATCTTTTAACAAGTTTTTGAAAATAATTACAATTGAATATGACAGTGATGAAATGGATATGCACTTTTACAAGTTTCTAGAACCTGGTCTGAATCTCTACCGTAATCCTGTCAAAAGTCAAAATTCATCAAGTAAGAAGATTGTTTGTCAAATGTTTGGACTTTATGGGTGTGTCATTTCCTTTGAAAGATTTCTCATAAAACTTTGGTCCATCAATATGTCAAACAACATCAATACTCACTATACTCGAGTGTGTCTCACTCAAGCGTGTTGCGCACTTTGCATATTAAGATTTCGTGAACGTGCACGACTTAATATGACCCCCCGGTGACCCATCGGGATGATCGTCGAACGGCTTGACTCCAAGTTATGATCACCTCATTTCAGAAGCATTTTCATTCAGAGTTGAAGCTATAAGAGTCGTTAAGACTTTTTGTAGTGCTACAAACGTCATTTAAAGTAAATTGTTGTCTACAGTTGGTTACCCAGAGCATCAGGTAGCGGCCCTTCAGTTGTCTAGACATGTACTTAGATCCAATAATTAAAGAATAATATTTCCGTGTATTTTATGAATGAATTTCAGGCAATTTAACAACATTTTATTACCATTAATGGTTTTGGAGATTGATTTTTAATATTTTTTATTAAGAATATTTTGTACCAGTCATTAAGCAAATATATATTTTTCCTTTTACACTTATCCCCAAAGTATGTGGTGGTACCGAATCTCATAAAAAAACAAATAGAAACTTAAAGCATTTACAGTAGCTGTATTGTACCGTAAGTATCGGATTTCATCAAAGTATAATAATCTATCATAAATTTATGTATTATTACACAAGTTTTAATATTGTAATCAGTTTTTTTTTTCAGTTCATTATAAAAGATTTTATTGAATGTTTTCACATTATATTTATTTTTTATTTAAAACCATGTTTAAGAAGGGTAGCACATCCACCAAAGCTAATCATTTGGGGCCCTGACATATATTAGAAATACAATGAAATATGAAACAGGTGAAAAGCATTACATTACATGTATTCTTCAACATTTGAGTTATTTATTGACATATATTTTGATTACAGTAATAGTAAAGGATGTTAAGCTTATATCATTTGGTTTTTATTTAAACCTTTGATTAAGGTAAAGTGGCTTGTCATTGGAATGTTTACAACTTTTTTCAATTAATTTATTTTTCTAATTGATTTTTTCCTTGTATTAGTTTGTTTAATGTAAAATCTATTGACATTCTTTGATCTTTATCTTAGTGTAATTTCGTCATCAGCTCACATTCAAACATCAAAATCGATTCCAGAATTTTAACCAAATGGTAGATTACCACAAAGGAGTCAGGATATGCAGTAATTGCTTTCAAAGTGACTACATCAACTGTCTGTCCCGTAGTCCAATAACCCATCTTTTTTTTGACATGACTAATTGCTCGCTGGTAAAACTTTTGCACAACTCTTGGGTGTGTCCCCTGCAGCATTGATGATCAGTCAGTTGTATTAAAGCCCTGCCTAGTTGTTAACGACTTTTATAATTATGATTCAAGCATCGATTTGAGAATGTTGTCTCTACAGGCACCACATCATTGGAAATGTCTGATGTTGAAAGACACAGCGGATGTGATCCACAATGTGCATTATTGTGAAGCACTTGACCTGGTCGCGTTTATCTCATTACTGATGATAAAAAGTTTTTTCCCCCAAATCACTGATTTCAGATTATTGACATCTCCCCTGAGGCCCCAGCTGATTTAAGAAATAAATACAAGGACAAGTGCTATCACTTATTGCTGTCAAAGTATGTTTGTTGGTTTCATGGTTATGTACTATACAAAACTACGGTATGACAATATATTCCATTATCGCATTTTACATATATTCTCACAAGATTTCCTTATTTCATTCATATTCATTTATTATTCACAAATGGACCCAATCAACCAATAAATCAATCCTCTAATGAATGCAAAACCAAGATTTTTAAAACTATTTCAAATTATACATTATTTAAACATTATTTCTCGCTCACGATTAATTTAATTACATGTACCGGTATCCGTCCAATAAGTTAACCCATCAGTTATCCTATCAATCAACCTACAGTATCAATCATTCAAACATCCAATCTGTCATCCAATATTTGTAATTTACAATAATTAGGAATACTGTAAAGTAAAATTGAAAAAAAAATTTGCTCTGATAATTTGTGGAGGGTGTGTCAGCAAATAGTATAATGTGTTTAAATTACCATTTCTTAAAAAACGCACCAGGAAAAGAAAGAAAAATTACAAGCAGTGGTACAGTAGTGATAAGTCGTATGTGTATTTATGCAGTGTCTCTCGAATGTATTTGCTGAGAATTAATTTTGTTCACTTTATTTCCAGCAGATCTTCCTCATCCATCGGCATTCAATCTATTTAGACCAAGGGATGTTGCGGATGTTGTATCCATGGAGACTGATCCCCTTGAAGCTCCACAAGGCCCTCTGATGGAAAGCCATGACCTCTCAGAGATTGAACACGTTGCCGAGCAGGAGTTGGAACATCATTGGTTACATAGTCGCCATGGTAATGCTGTACCTTCACCTCAGCCTGGCAATAATTTTACAATAAACTCAATACTTAGGAATGATCCATTTATTGGCGGGGATGTTAGTGAGAACTTATTTGATACTTTGGCTGAAGGCGATGGCTTGTTCATTCCAGAGACAGGGTCAAATGGTACAACTTCTGGTCACTTTGCTTCGCCAGACATCATCTTGAACTCTGACCTCAATCCAGTTGTCTCCGTTCGGCCTGGAAAAAGAGAAAGGCAAAAGATCTCACGGTCATCGGGTCAAATGTCAATGGGCTTTAGTGACAGGTATTCCACATATGAGAAAACGAAAGCAAAGACGCATAAAAATCCACGCCACTCGGACGTTTATTTAAGTGAAGATAATCGTTCAGAACATTATGGACTGGGAAATACTGAATCTTTAAGAAATCGTGAACATGGACACAACAGGCATAAGAAAGGGGGAACAAAGCGGCAAAAATCTGAGTCAGCAACCTTCACAACAAATAAATACGAGGAACTGCAAAGGATGAATGAGTATGATGCAGACGACGATTCAGATGTGGATGTGCTCAGCCTTGAGGATGAGTCAACGGGTAGGACGTCAGGTGCTAGCAGAGGAAGGCTACGGGAGGAGACAGGTGGTAATGATGATGTGGTGGAGATAATTGATGACCTACTTGCTGGGCCAAGTGGAATTTGTGAACAGGTTCCCAGTCGTTATGAAGTGGTCCTTTCAAGTTCATCCGACAGCGATGATGTCCAGGTTGTCCAAGTTACTCCAGCTGTCAGGTATGTGCAGTAAGTACCTATTCAATAGTCGGTAATTTTCTGAACCAAAATATGTTATGAATACATTAATATTTTAACAGATTATTTTTCCAATGGACCAGCGTAATTTAATTCAATTCATCTTTTTATTAATATTGTATAAAAAAAAATAATATTTAGTCGTTTGCTGTTGTTAGCACCTGTGCCTGTAATTTGGTGCATATTTTCAAATTTATTAACTTGGCATTATGTATACGTTAGCTATCCAGCAATTAAAGTAGGCCTTGGCCAGGAAGGATAATACAATAGAGTGATGTATCTTTTATTTATCAAAATAGCAAGAGAACATGAACAGTTGTAATGGTTAAACAAAAATATTAAAAGGATAATAATATTTTGTAGGCCAGCCAAATACTGGTGACACTAAACTAGTTTATTTTTTTTAAATATATAAAAAAATTGCCTTGCTAACACTTGAATGTAACATCAAGGCCTAGATCGTCTTTTATGTTGATTCATAATAGTGGGAGTGGCTGGCATAGTTTTGTAATTTGGGCTGTTTTCCTTGAGGTCAGTGTTTGAATCATACGCTGTGCATTTTGATTTTGCCATTAGACAAGGCATTTTAATATTCCTGCTTTAAAGTGGTTGTGCAACATTGTACTGTTTTGCCTGCCCGACTAGGAATTATACAGCTCTGGGCCCACATTTTGGTTTGAGTCCTGTGCATGCTTGCCAATCAATATATCTTACCGGAGTGACGATCAAATATACAGTAAAGTTTGATTGAACAATCAAAACATGGCCAGGACTATGCATGTTTCTCACAAACATGTGTTGTCCAACAAACCCACATGTTTACGTGTGATTATGCTGTCATTTTGTTGGACTTGCAACAATATTCAGTGGGGTTTAGCGAATGGTCCATTATCAAATGAACAATGCTTATACCAGTAAGAGGTCTTGTTGTCAGTGATACTAATGGATTGATTAGCAATTACTATATTATTCTTGGGCTAATTAAATTAGTACAGCATTACAATAAACTAAAACAAAAAGGATTACTGTAAGTACAGTAATATATTTTTTTTCATTTCTTGGAAATTCATTTTTTTTTCTGATGACTTTAATTCCCAGTGCCTTGTACAGTATGTAGAATACTGTAATATTTAAAATGTAGTTATGTAATGTAGTGATACATCATGTTTTACAACATTACAGTATGTTTGTAGTTGCACTATAATAGAGTAATAATCATGTGAGATAAAATTAATATTATATTGGTATAATATTTGTTTCTAATAGATATAATTGCTACTATTTGTAACTTAGTATATATTGCTGTGACTGCTAGCTACTTTTTTTTTTTTGTGGAAAATCAATTTAAAATGTTTAACCTACTAATGTATTAAGGTATCTACAAAATACATTAACATTAGTATAATAATAATAATAATAATTAAGAAGCTTACATATTTTTACTTTAATTCATTATTTTCCTCCTTTAAAAAGTACTGTGTCATTTTTTCCTACATGATATCATTTTATTGAACGTTGCAACCTCATGTGGAGCTTTGACCGAAAGTTTTGTCATATTAAAGGAGCTAGCTGACCTGAATTTTGCTATTAAATGAGTCAGCTGTTGTTATGAAGCACCTCAATAGAGCCATCCAAATGCATCAAAGATGATAGTAGTCAGCAGGACTATTTTCGTAAAGAGCTATTTTCACAATCTGTAAAGCATCACATTTGAGGTGTTTTTTATATTGTTACACCATGTGTAAAGACGAAAAACATGTTGAAGATCATTCAACAGTGTACCCACATATGCGTCGAAAAGCGTTGAAGTTTGGCTTGCACTGGCGATCACAAACTGCGCCGAGATAAAGCTGTAATTCTGGGCAAAGGTCCAAAATACATTAGCGCTTATAAAGCCATGCTTATGACAAGCTGAAGAGGTTTGGGGAAAGTGGAGAAATATAATCTTGTCATTCATTTAATTTGGCAGCTTGTCAACAACTTATAAGTGACAGATTTTTGACAGGACATTTAAATACACCATGATTTTAACTGGCCATCTTAACCTATGGCTTGGTTTTTTTCCCCAACTTTTTTAGAAAATGCAAAAACAAGAAACAAGTGAAGTCGTCTGTCAACAAGCGACAGCAGACCGCCGCAGATGCAGAGTCATCGAGCGCTGAAGTTGTGGCTGTGTCAGAGGTCGATCCATTACCGCAGAGACATCCGACCATGGTGGTTGATCTCACCGAATCGGATGAAGATGGTAACATTTCTCACATTACAACATTTTATCTGACAGTTGTTGTTTAATGTTAATTTCTTATATAATGAGAAATTAATACATTAAATTGAATTTAGCAATTACTGTAGTTTGAATTTCTGAATGATATATACACTTAAGTTTCAATGTAAGGTATAAGGCACATCTATACTTAGAAGAAAAAAATAATAAATTGATTAAAATGAAAAACATGTAAAATATGATAAAAATGAATTAAGTATTACAGATAACATATTTAATTGTTTAAAACCAATCATGTACAGCTTGTGGGGCTTTTTTGGGGGTGTTGGAGTAGCTTCAAATTTTAGAGGTATAGTAGTGTGTTTGATGGAAGGTTAATCAAAATCTGTGAGTTAATGTTTTAACATGCACTTGATAGTTGTGGTGTGTATGTAGGAGTATTAGGCCTACATTGCAAATATTATTAATATTAATAAATAGTATAGATTAGACAAAATAATCTATAAATATTACAGATTAGACCAAAAAAATAATAAACTGTGACAGTGATTTGTTATTAACCATTGTCTTATGTTGTTATTTCTTGGTACAAATAAGGGGTTTTAAAAAAATTTAATCAGAGTTCTTAGGCTAATATATATAAAATTTTAGGACGAAAATCATCCTAATTGATTAGAAAACACCCTAGCTGATTTAAATCGAGATTTATATTTCAGGTCTTAGGAATAAGGCTTCTGCTTTTTATTCATGGAGTATTGGCACACAGTAAATACTAATATTCAGTTCCTGAAAGCACCGTTAGGTAATCAATGTTTTGTAGAATAGAAATAGGATTTGCATAGAATTGATGATCTACTGTATCATATATGTACTGAACAGTACAGGTTTTAGTAAATCTGGTATTCAGTTTGTCTAGAAGCCCAATTTCCCTAAGAATTAGTCTAATAATTGTGATCCAACCAACTACGTTTCCTCGATTTTGATTCACCAATTTCTTGCTGGGATTATTTCATTTAACTGGCAGTTGTAGTCTGCATTTTATGTTAGCCTTCCTGCAAAGGGTGTGCATTTAGCATTTTATATTTTACTGTGGAGTGAATGTAATTAAAACATTAAGTATAGATTTAATGGAAGAACTAACTCAACAAATATTGATTCTAACTTTAAAACATAAAGAATAGATTTAATGGAAGAATAATAAAGGATTTTAAATACCTAAAATACCCCATTTACACTTTTGATTGGGCCCAGCCTAGGGTAATGCTTTGATGCGCAAACTTGCAAAGGTGTTTCAGGCAGTTAATTCAACCAGCTTAGGCAATGAGCCATGACTGCGATTGTGACCTAAAATTGACCTCTCAGAAGCATTGTTAATAACTACCGTACCAGCATTTTCTGTCTGGTTGTTTTGTTAAAGAATGGTTAGAGGATCCCACTGTCAGGGAAGTAAATGTTATTCTAATTTGGTAGGAGGAACAAGTAATGATATACTAAATTATTTTTGTCCAGAATGCAACTTAAACTTGCATTTCGTTAATGTCAGCTGTTATTTAAAATTACTATTATAATTTACTACGTTTATTATATAACATTAAAGGTAAGCACTTTGACACTAGGTTGGGGTAAAGAATGTACAGTAAACAGAGAATATCTTTTGTAATTAAATGCCTTAAGACTTTTGTACTGGAGCCCATGTATAATGTAAAATGCCCGAAATGATTAATTTCAAAATTATATTAAACGGAATAGATTTTATTATGCACTACTGTATGCAACAATGACAGTATTGCATTATTATTATTATTGTTATTAGTTAAATTATGGAATATTCTGTCACATAATGTTATCAATGTAAAGGTAAAGTTCAGATGTCAATTATCCCAAGTTGGGAGAATTCATTTCCCAGAGGTCTGGTTTAATGAGCCTATTTCGTAGAATGGGTAAGCTTTTCTTTCAATTCATCTATATCGCTTTACAGCAAGAAGTAAACAAGGATATTGTTCATTCACGCAGGGCGTATATAGGCAAGCTAGGGCGAGTCTATTATTTTTCTTTTATGCTCGAGAGGTAAGTTTGAATCGAAACTTAGGCATTTATCGGTTTATCCAGGTGAGTATCTCACTCATAGACTAACAACACCTCTACTGATTTGAGTTTTTTAATGCATCTAATTGTATTTTGCTGTCCGTGGTAATACCGAAGTCCAGCTGACTTCAGGGATACAATACTACAAGTAAAGACATGCAAACATAATGTGTTTGCAAGAAAATGGTTTGTTTTCATGAGATTTTCGCTTGCCAGCAGCAATGCGGGAGACTGACAATTTCCGAGATACTCTCAGCAGACTTGAGACTCTTGAAAATTTGCATTTGCTTATTGCGAAAGCACTTTGACCTTTCAATCTAAGGAGAAGTTGTTAATGGTGAATTTTTGCTTTATCTATCTTAACAGGTCATACTAGAAACTTAGCAACAGATTGTCCAGCAGAGACCACAAGACCAACCAGAGATCCTTGCCTCTGTATTGGTAGCCGTAGCTGTCGACATCCCTCCGACCCTATAGACCACTCAAACCGTCAGAATGGATATTTTATACCACCGTCGGTAATTCACCGGCCGAGCTGTAGGTATCAGACAAGAAACGTGCCAAATCCACTGATTCAGGCCGCAGCAGGAAGGGGAAAGAGCCAGCCTGTATCTTTAGAAGATCCGTTCGCTGATAACGCCATGCATCATTCGTCAAGGGGTCCACAAACACACCACCATGCACATCCACAGGTGAGAAAAATATAAGGCATTTACCGTTAAGCACAAAGTAACCATGAAGCAGTTGTTTTTGAAAGAACTTTCAATCCGAAGAAGATCCCAGGGTCAATCCCTATGATTTCAAAAACTTGTCAATGCTAAAATTTGTATACTTGCACCGACATACACTTAAGTTGATTTCTTAACTAGTGATTGGCCAAATTGCTGTTATATGTGAACAGATTGGGTGCAAATGTATGAAGAACACATGATAGTTGCCAGACTCACTATTTTAACACCTGTTAGGTAAATGAATGTTTTTTATCAGGAAGTGTTAAAGCTATTACTGTTTGAAATTCCACTGATGAAAGATTTTTGGATACTGCATATTTTCAGGGTTTTTTTAAAAGAATTTTTTTTTGGCTGGAATATGTCAGTCAGATACTTTCAGGTTTGATATATTTTATTCATTTATAAATTAGATAGTTTTTTTTTATATACTTATATACAAAGTGTATTAATTTACATGTCCCCCGAGCAAAGCTCATACCAACCATTTTCCCTGTTCATGTGTGATTCTTATGTTCTAGCTTATGTCCCATGTTGTATACTCATGTACCTGTCCCTACTCATCTTCCTTGTTCCTCTACCTCCATACACTACTTTCTCCCTTCCCACAATCCTCATGCCCCCTCCATTCTCCACTTTCCCCCAGACCATGCTCATTCTGTCTCTAATAATGTTTCAATGCCTGTTATTGACTGATGTCTCATTTGTTACTCAAATTGAGACTGATACCTTCTAGGAAGAATCTGAGGCTTGGGTGGGCATGAGTAATGCACAATGCTGTGTTTGCCAGAATTCATAGCATTACTTTCTCAACAAATATCTTGCTATTTTGTGTTGGGTATAACAGATTATCATGTAAAAATATTTCATAATTACTGTATTTATTCGAATGAGTGACCCGGGGCACTTGTTGTTTATGGTTTTTGAGGGGGGCGTTTATTCAAGGGAATGTGATTATAAAATGTCATCTATTACGCAGTTGTTTTCTATATTTATTGCAAGTCAGTGCATTTGGTAGAGAGTTGTATAGACCAAAAATAGATCCTTTAACTACTGTATATCGTTAATGTTTTCAACAAGATTCTGGCTGTGCTGATGGCGACATTGGTGTGAATGTAGCCATTTGCTACAGCCATCTATTAGCCGAGGGCCAGCTGCGATGTCATTCAACATATTTTATTTTTATATTCTAATATGATAATGATAATGAATCACTATTTTATTCATTTTCTTGGCTGTGTTTGTTCCATGTTTGACCTCTTAGAATTCAGATACTTTTTTTAAGAGTCTTAAAATAGAATGAATGAGGAGGTAAATAATAATGATGATTATCAGTAATGTTGTTTTCATAACAGTTATGAGTGTAGCAAGCATAACTCAGCATTTTTTAGCCATGCCCTATTTTTAGAACCTCAAATTGTATCACCCAAGCCCATCTAGATGAATACTCAGCTATGAAATATATTTATTTAGAAAAGCAATCTCAATCTTAAAGGTCTATCTAATTCATTAATCTAAAGCATGCATATTCTATTCATTTTTGAATAATAAAGGAAAGTTCAAATCATCAATCAATATACACCGAGGGAAAGTTTAAGAGAAGATCTATTTTGGTAACAAAGAGTTTCATTTTGATGAAGATGGTGGGGGAAAATATTAAGATAAATGGAAAATATAGTGTTGTCTGCAGAATTTACCTACATACATGCTACTGACACTTGGCTAACCCTGTTCACTCCTGTAGATGAGTCATTTAGATTTACGCTGGAATTGTGCCAAGAATTAGCAAACTTTGGATACAGGCTGATTCAGGCTTCACTGATGGGTATGGAGATTGCGGCTTTGGCTGGTAGTGTAGCATTAACGATATACCAACTGGGATGCACTAAAAAAAAACTATAAAATAAAATTTAATATTTTTATATTCTTAAACTGTGCTCTTAGTTTTTAATTGAAAATTACAAATAAAATAAATAAAACTGATGCATATTCTTTGGCATAGATCCTAATTTCAGTTTCCACTGATGGATATGGCCGTTCAGGAAGCATTAATGATTTACCATCTATGATGCCCTAAAAAAAACTATAAAATAAAATTTAATATTTTTACACTGTATACTAAGCCAACAGATGCACTGATTATGTTTAAATAACATAGAGTGAATGTTACTTTGAATAAAGAGAGGGAGGCCATAATTTTGAAGGTCGAAACGTTGAATTATGGTCTCCCTCTGCTTATTCTGAATAACGTTCATTCTGTGGTACTAATATTAAAGTACTGTTTAGTTTTTAATTAAAAAATAGAAAAAGCAAACTTTTCTTCACCAATAAACAGTTCTTTGGCATAGACCATAAATTAGCTGGTAATCAATTTAAGGATTTTTGTGGTAAAATTAAATTATGTCAGTCTGTGTTTCATTGGATGTTGATAACCCGTCGTCTGATTCTGGTAAATGAGTTATTCAATTTGTAAGTTGAATTTTTGAGTTTTTTTTTCAGATTTGACATTAAAAACATTGTTTATATCCCCTAAAAAGTCCAACCTTTTGTTTGCGTTTAACGACTGGATAAGAGTTGCTGTCAAGACTAGGGAAAAAATCAGCCAATCATGTCACATGAACATCATCAGGTCAAAGGTCATATGGTTGCGGTCTTTGAAAGGTTACTACATCATATTTATGAACAGATGTATCTGAAAGGTCATTTAATAGCAATATATACATACAATATATATTTTGAATCAAATCAAGTCTATGTAAGAACATTTATTAAAAGAGTTTAATTTTATTTAGTAAATTGTTGCAAGAGATAAACTTATTCCCTAAGGTGTAATTTTTAATAATTTTTTTTGATTATATAATATATGTAAAATTATAGTTTTAATAATAATAATCAATATTTTTTAAATCAGTGTGTTACTTTATTATACAACTTAACTTTCTAGTTAGATAAGTTTTAATATAATATTTATGAAAAAAAATTACAAAGTATAATTAAAGCTTCATTAATATTTAAAACTTTATTAAGAAGATTTAATTATTGTGAATGTAATTCAATAAATTGTTTCTATAAAGGACATATATTGTCTACTGAGGATTGAAGATAAATTATATAAATATTTTTGATACTGGTAATTTAATATCCTAAAATATTATCCATTGGTGCTATATGAATCATAAGGAAACAGAGTAATTCAAATTATTTATGAAATTAATATGAGATTTGTAATTTAGATTGTACATACAGATGTTCTTTCTTCATCAACTATTAAAGAATTTACAAGTAGTATAATTATTTATTCATGCACAAAATATTGGATGTTTACAAGCAAAAAGGCACTAGAAAGGAGCAAAAATAATAGACATAAGATGTAGAAAAATTCAAAATGAAAATAATTAATTGAATGTCCAAATTATGTACTAAAATTTATCTAAAAAATATAATGAATTTGTTAAACATTACACCACACAAACATTAAATATGCAAAAATTACTCTGTGGTTAATGCTTGATATTGCTGTAGCACAGTTTCATCTTCATGCGTTGAGTGAGTGTAAAGGAAGCTAGGCTTCATTGGATTGCCTTTCGAGGGCCCTGTAATGCATCATCTGGGGAATTTTCTTGCCCTCCTCAATTGGAGCATTGTGTTGGTACATTCATGCTTTTATCCTTTTATCATCTTGCCCTCCCCTGGCGTATGTCAAGTTGTGCCGATGAAAATCTATTGGAACGCTGTTTAAGATCGAGGAACCGAAAACATGATGTTTGCAATTTTGTGGACAGTTACTGCACCCTTAGCACAGTTGATGTGATTATGTCCCCGTATTAAGGTTGTTAGTTTCAGCAAGATAGTGAACAAAGAAAACCTATCTATCTATGAACTATGTGCAGCTATTTTGATCATATCTAATTAAGTACCAGCAGAGGCTTCTAGAGAAATAGCTCATAAACAGTGCTTCCGTATAAATAATATATTACTTTTGTATGCTATTTTTAATTAATGCTTTCTATATTATAATTTCTTTTTTTTTTATTAGGTTTTATTCATAAATTAAGCATGGATTTTAATAATAAGAAACACAGATATTTACTGAGGAACCCGGATCATCGCACCATTCTCCTCTAGTTTAAATACCACTGACAATTACATAAGAAATGTGCATAATAAATCATCAGATAATGAATGAATGAATAAGAATATGGTAGTTATATATCATTCAATATATAATTTTAGGTGGATTATTCAGATTTTTATTGTGAGATATTAAGTAACTATGAGTAGAGTGAAGTAGAAATTTTAATTGCAAAATATTGAAATATTAAAATTAGATACTAAATCTTATTTAAAAGGAGACATTAAATCAGCAGAAGGAGATAATAAATCATAACTATAATAAATACTTTATTTGTTTGATCATATTACTTTCAAATTTTTTTTAAAACATTTATAGAGACTGACCCTTCCGATTTATCCTAGAAGGTCAGCAAGTATTGTCTTTTACCATTTACCTAAAAAATAGTGGTTCTAGATTTTACATAGACACTTAAATTTGTTGGTAATCAATTTAAAGAAATCAAAGTTAAATCAATATTTTTATGTTGCTGTATAGTACTCTATCAACGTTATCGCATGAAATGTGGTGTTGATGCCAGGACCTAATCCATGGATTGCCTGAATGTCAATTCCTTTACCGATCTGACCTTCTTCGGCTTCCATAGGGAATATAAACAGTATCAGATCATGCATTGTCAGATTGCCGTTTACCTCACAATGACAAGTGCAAACTCTTCCCACGAGTTGAAACTTTACATTTTGAGATTCTTTTACGATAAACCTGTACCTCTTATCCAAGTAGTATTTCCAGTTATTAGCCTATATTATAGGCCCATTTTGAACCTGCATCAAAATTGTGCAGTGATCTGAACATCTAAATCTGTCAACATTATCAAATTTTGTGTGAGGTGCCCATACAGTTGTTTGTCACATAAAATTTGATAATGCAGACAAAGCTTTTAGCAATTTATAAATTGGTTTTTTTTCAGTCAGGATTAGACAGAACAAATATTTTTAGAGTTATTAAGCTACAGTAGTAAATTCACCAAATTGAGACCAGTGACTGATCTAGTTCCGGGCAGTGTATACATGACTGTCCAGTAACACAATTAGGAAAGCTACAGCTTCTGACATTGCATGCATACGTATGTGTATGACTACAGTTTGAATTAGTAAAACTTGACCCTTCTAGTGCAAATTGCTGCAGGCATGTTGTGTATAGCCTCTGTACCTGACCCAGCCAGTTGTCTGTTAAGTTATCCAGTGATCTCTTAGCTGCTGGGGAAGTATGATAATATGAAATCATAATGATGTTTGCATTCTCGGAAACGTGTATGAAACATGAGCTTGATTAGGATGTTGGTCCTGCTAGCCTTGTAGCAGACCTTGGTAGTGGTATAATCTTGAACTATAATAGTACAGAGTATTTTTCACACTATAATTTAATAATTTATTTTTAATTATCATTATTTTCAAATTATTTTATTATAATATTATGACTACGTTTTAAAGTTTTTTATGATCTAATAGAATTATTATTTTATAACTGAGGCTAGGGATTTTTTTTTACTGTATAATTTTGACCAATTTTACATTACCATTGTTTTTTTAATTATTATAAATTGGTAATATTTTTCATGGTTTTGTATCTCTGTAGAATCTAATAGTTTCAGTACAGGTACTTTTAATTACAGTATGTACAGTATTCTTAAATCCTTATGACACAAACCAAAGACCACAGTAAATCATAATTGTTGAGACTGTCGTATTTGCAATTACTATAATTGAAATAGTGTGTTCACTCTTTCTTGTTCATTGTACTCATGAATAGATGTTCAATATTCATTACAAAGTTGTTAAATATTCATTAAAAACATGTTGAATATTCATTGCAGACCAGCAACCGTGCAACCTGTCATTTATCTCAAGGGTGCAACAGGCAAACCATTCCTCATCACCACCGTACCTGTCACATTGGTACCTTCCAACCAGGTCCCGGTGTGCATAGCGCTAACCAACCCTTGAGGCCTTCACCGTACCATCCGGTACGTTTACCAAGGAACCATCTGTACCAGTACCATCATGGTCTGTCAACAGATCAATCTGCACCGGCACCAGCAGCAACTTCCCAGCAATCTTGTCAGAACTCTACCAGCCAAGTTGACTCTCAGCCGCAATCATCGTCCTGCCAACACCGGTATGACTCAACTCTCAACCAGAATCCCCAAGGTTAGTACCAAATATTTCCAGTTATTAGTCTAGGAACATGCGCAATTAGCTTCAAAGGCAAGGATTTGTTAAGAGAATACACCAGATCAGCATGTCTAGGCTGAAGTGGATAACAACAAATTATTACAGCACATTTTATCATTTTGTATTTTATAGAATTTGTATATTTATATTTGGTTCATAATAATAATTGTAGTATGTTGCATAATTAAAAAATAATTCTGTTGCATTAACTAGGAGAACCTGATGGAGGTACAGTAGTCAACTTTCCTGTTTGTCAATCCTGTTAGAGTAGAATTTCTCTACCTATTTGGTCCCTCTACTCCATGCGCTGTATGTCCCCAGAAGCCCAGCCCTAATTGCTAGTTTCTTACCAATGAGTAACTTTACTTTATATTTTAAAGACGATGTTATACACATGTCTCCGAGGCTGTACCATGTTCCGCAGACCAACTACCAGGGAGTTCAGCCCCAGCAACAGGGTCATAGTCACCACTATCCTAGGCCTAGACACATCCACAATCAGCACCCTATTACCGAGATACACCTTCCACAGCAGACCCCCCAGATGCAACTCAGACATCAGCAGCTGTTCCACCAACAGATGTACAACAGAGAACGCGATCGACGTTGTCTTGTTAACTACTCTTACAGGTAAGCTGATAATTTCGCTCATTTGCAAAACCTCATTAAGATCAAGAACATCATTATTTTTTATTTCTATTGGCGTTCTTGCAATGCTGTACTTCATTCAAAAATCTGATCAAAACTTGCCATAGGAGATTAACAGACAAAAACCTGATTATTATCTAATTGGGATAGAGATGGAGATTGATCTAAGGAAGTGAAGGAAAGTACCTTACCTACTCTGCCATTTCTATTCAAATAGCTAACCAAAGGGTTAGCTTTTAGTTTAAGTTTTAATTACACTACATAAGTATAGCAATGTAATATAGATGTATACAATTGTATTTTATTTATCTTTACTCAAAACAGACGTGCAGGTACACGACATGATCCGGTACTAGTGATACCAAGACCAATGGGGCAGGATCCACCAAGGTATGTCAAATATATGAATAACAAAAGTTTTATGAAAATTTTCTGTACCTATGATGTGCCTTCCTCAGGGTCTATTTACGTTTCCCCATTCAGCTATAATAAATACATGAGCCCTTTGTGAAGAAAAACAGAATGCCATAAAATGTTATTTATCATTTATATTTACAAATTAATTTTGTCTTTTTAAACATGAAAATGACAAACAACCATTGAGTTTAACAAGTAATATCTATAGACATATTAATGAATGTACAAATTAAGTGTAGGATGAAACATAAACATATGGCAAATAAATGTTTTGTCTCTATGTATAGAGTATTTTAGGCATCTAAGAATATGTTATTTATATTAATGATGATTATGATAATAACAGTACCCATTACATTGCTTGTATTTTGATTTTGAATTTTCAGGGAAGAGGTTGAACAGACAACTGCAATAATGGATGGATACCAACACCAGCATCGTCATCTGCATCACCACATGCATCACTACCACCACGGCACTGGAGGGGTCAGACACCACCCTATTCTCCCAATGGTCAGTATAGGTTCATTCACACCTTAAGAATAGGAACGCTAGCGTTCAGCGCATCGCAAATGCAGTCCAAATTTTGGTTTGGATCTGATGTGAATGTAGCTTAAAACTTGCTGCACTATAGAGGGCAGTGTTATATGTTGTAACACATATCATGTTAAAAAAAGTATAAATCATACAGCCACAATCAACTTTAATTTATATATTCATGAGCATAATCTTGAACATCAGTACCAGCCACTGCATTGCTTACGCAGTTGCTGTCATGTCAGATGTAGTGAGCAAAGTTAATGTAATTGGCATAGTATGTAAGCCTATAGGCTTTATTTTTTTTTTCTTTTTGGTGTAAAAGTCCATTATGAGACTTAGTTATTAAATCATAACTAAGCCCTATGGGAAAAACCATAGACATCAACTGAATATTCTAGGAATGAAAATGAATTTGTTTAGCTTAAATGTAGGTTTTTTTCCTATTTTTTTGTACACTTCAGCTCAAAAACGGTATTATCTTTGTTTATAGTCTTTGCAGCTCTATTCTCAGTCTTAATTTATCATAGCAGGTATGATTAGGTTTTTATCTAGGCCCCTTGAGCAAGGGAAGTACTATGCTGTGATTAACTGTGGCCAACCATGACAGCCTAGCTGAGCTGGCAGATTGGTACTACAGCTCATATTTTGTTTGTTTGGCTTTGTAATTTTTAGAAAGTAATCTTTAAGAATTGTGCAAATTTAGCAAACCTGATTTAGAGCTTTAATTCTTGATACTTTGCTAACCTTTGTAACCTACATTAATGTCATTTTTGTGGTGTTTTTTTTTGCAGGAATTTTCAAATAACTCAATCTCTGTTAGAGAAGCCACGTTAATGACAGCCAATCACAATAATGGCATCGTTTATCGCATACATAGGCCAAATTTTAATGTGAGTATTGTATGTTCTGTTCTACTGTATATCCTCATGTATGAGACGAGGGGGGGGGTCATCTTATACGTGCAACACATACAATTTTTTAATTTTTAAAATTATGTTCGTCTTATGTGCAGATCGTTTGTAACATGCAAATTTACTACTGATATGAAGCTACTAACTGTTATGAATGAACACAATTATGCGAGGAAAAACGATTTTGAAGAACATTTAAAAGCCCATAAAATGGTATAATTTGGAAGATTGGCCCTACATTTTCCTCCGTTTTTAGCCAGCTAGATGCAGTATCGCAACCATAAAAAACAGCATAGAGTAGGAAACAGCCAACATACAAAAATCATCCAAAAATCTTCTCAAACTCGGGGGGGGGGGGGNNNNTCATCTTATATGCAGATCACCTTATACGCGAATATATACAGTACTTTTAAAACTGTTACTTATTTTGAATTTATTACCAGAATTGTTTGCAAGTTACAACATAACTTGTTTCATATTGTACATGAATATGACACAGACACAACAGGAAGTGAATTGGTAAGTATCCAAATAATAAATAGATTCTCTTGTGTGTTTTTTTTTTTAGACCCTGCTTCATGCGGGAGATCCCAGAGGATTGCCAAATCGAGGAGCACCAAAGACGGTCATTGAAAAGGTTACATTCCCATACGAATACAGAAAGGTATGCAAACCAATGTCACCTGAATATTTCAAATCCTTTTCCAATAGGGAAAAATATTATGTGATCAAAAGACCAACATCTTGACTGCTATTTAATGTGATCAAAAGCTTCTGTGAGGTAGAAAATGCTTTGAGGCTGTTAACATGAAACACTGTTAGTAATATGAGGATTGCCACCCAAAACCAGCGCATTGTCGCTAATTGTTAGATTGTTAGCGTAAGAATGCGACAGTGTTGTATACTTGACTTCAGAGAAGCCATAACACTTTGACTCATAACTCTGGCAATAATATTTCAATTCCAGTATTGCACAACCCATCATTTTTAAGCTTACAATGTGAAGGATATGAATATATTAAAAAGTCAATTTTCTTCTTTTTTTTTTTGGTCACTAATACTGGTTTTGTGAGGGCAAGCCTCATGTAATAATTAGATAGGGCTTGGCCATGGAGTTTTACTTAGAAGAATTATAGTCTCCTCCAGTAAAATTACTCTCTCAAGAGAAGTAGTGATTCGTTCATAAACTGGTGAAATAAACATGCATGCTAACGCATTGCCAATTACCGGACAAATTCCAACTTTTATATAAGTTTGCCTCAGTTTCGAAATTGATGTATTCCTGTATAGGCCCAGCAGAATTAAGTAATTTGTATAAACGATTTATGCACTAGTTTTTCTTTGTTGTCAGTTCCTAAACATGGGATGGTCATGCATATTTTTCATCCTTGTAGTCTTTTTGATTGTAAATATTTGTGCCTAATAAATAATAATAATATATAAAAATAATTTTCAAGTAGTAGCACAGTTACCAATTGGTAAATTTCAGGATTTAATTTTTTACTCTTGTGATAAATAGGTAAAGAAAAGGAGTAGAAGCGAAAACACAGATGAAAACACAGAAACAGAGGAAGCAGATAAGGAGGAAAATTCAGAAGATCAAGGAGAAAAATGTGCAATATGTTTGTCATACTATGAGGAGAAAGAAGGAGTTAGGTGAGTAAAAAGATACATTTCTATTCATTTGTTCAGGCTCATAACCGTGATTCCATATGGGGGTGGTGGGTTAGTGTGGGAGCCAGAGGTTCAGTTGATGCCTAGGTGTACTGTGGATGCCCCTCCCCTCGGCCACAATATAATCTAGTTACTTAATTTCATCCATCTTTAGTTACTTTACTTTTGACCTGAGTATAATGATTCCACTACCTAGTATATGTATATGATACAATAATATATTTATTAAGATAATGTAAATTTGTCATGACCCTCTTAATCAGAAAAGCTCAAATAGACTTTTCATTTGATATAAAGTGCATTGAACATTTATAGATTCAAAGATTTTAAAGCTGATAATTAACTGAAAATGTACATTATTTTAGGGCCAACTTGGGATTGCATAAACTTGACATTAATTATAGAGCATTCAGGCAGTTTTGACGCACATTAAATGTTAAAGGTTAATTTTTTAGATGTTCAAACACATTTTCGAAACAAGTTTGGTTAGCTTCAATAATAACATTTAATTATTTCTGTGAATTTAATTTGCTTGATTTGCCTTTATAATGTCATGATGATGTCATATTACACCCATATATGGGCATGATGACATCATTCCACATATATATATATGGGAAAATGATAGGTACTTATAAAATTATATTCTATAATAAATATCAAATTTACAGATACGTCTATGGTAGATGTCTTTGTATAGAATGGGCTTTTGTTTTTTACCAGAAAATAAGTAAAGTTTGGTTTGTTAGCCTTTTTACTGCTGATTTTTGTAGTATTTTTATGAATGTATATTATCTATTGTTTTGTAGGAGGTTACCATGTATGCATCTCTTCCATATTGATTGTGTTGACCAATGGCTAATGTCCAATAAGCGCTGTCCCATTTGCCGAGTGGATATTGAAACACAAGTGCAACCAAAGGTAGAATGAAAAATAAAGGACTAAACATGACAACATATTTCTAGAAAACAATGTCACATATCTATTATGGTTTCCATATTTGGTACTTATGGAATCAATACTGAACATTAGGTGCGAGCATGGAATTAGAAGAGTTGAAAACAGAACATGATTACCAATGACTGCAGAGTTTTTGAGAAGATCCCTGCATGCAGTGGCCGTCTGTAATTTGCAATGCATTAGAAGGAAACAACAGATTCAGGTCGCAATGAGTGCAGCATTGTTAAGTGAGGTATTTCATCAGCAGTGCCTATTGTGGCAGACGCGTCAAATGAGTGCTGATTTGGAAAATTACCTTGTATAACATACAGCGGCTGTAGAATACCTTCAGCACAAAAATTGGAGTTTAATATGGTTGCCATAGAGAAGTAAAATCACAAGTGAAGTCTATTGTAGATGAGAGAGCAGGAATATGAATCATGTAAATCTTCACATTATGTGGCATCACATGTTTCTCATAATAAAAATTGTTTTTTGTCAATATAGTAACCATGGTAATAATTTGATTTTACTTGAAAAAAAAAAATTATTCATAATGCATAAATATTTGTGAAATGCATAATATGCGATTGTGTTTTTATTTAATGACGTTAGCTATATATTGTTATTGCTTAATCATGTCATATCTGAATATTTTTGCTCCAAAAAGAGCAAATCCAGATGAGATGAATAATGTTTCAATTTAATGAGGGTATTATTAAAAGTATATTCTACAACAGTGTGTTTTCTTGTGGTTGTTGCTATAATGGCAGCCTTGCAATTAGAAGGGCATTGGTTACTTTGCTCATTTTAGTCATTTTAACTAATTATGTATATTTTTTATCCATGGTGATGTTTTTCAAAATGTATTGCAAGATCATTCAGCTGTAGATAGTGATGCCCTTCCAACAGATCATGTGCTCACTGGCTTACTAATTGTCTACTTTTAACTTATTTTCACTAGAAAAGACATTACTATGTTTAGCTTAACCTTTCTTGTATTTATCTTTGCTTTATTGTTTGTTAAATTCTAATATATTTTTTTTAATATGTATTTATAACTTTCGTTTTATAGAATTGCAGGAATACTGTAAATACAAAATATCCGAAGTTTCCATATAGTTACAAATTTCAAATATCACTCCAAACAAAACTATTCTACAAAACAGTACACAGTGATTAATTAATTAAATAATGTATTTTTTAAGTTATAATTAGAAGCTTATCAAGTTATCTGATCTGTCACAGGGCTTAGCAATGCCCTATAAACTAAGTATCATTAAGAAACTTCAGGATTAATGGAGTGGAACTCTTTTTTAGTTTTGAGAAGAAATCATGGTTTCATACAGAACTTAAGTCCTTGGATTGGTTGTAAGATTAATTTGTCTTTGCTTGGTTAACTGTTGCAGTGTTACCCTTAAATTTATTTCCCTGGAGAGTCATATTAGCTTAATGTAACATAACTTAAAATTAATTAGAACACCAAGAATTATGTAGAAACAGAGTTCAATATGAATAATTCCAATAGTCAGGATGATAGGCGTTACTTGTACAGGCAATTTGGACTGAACAAAACTCAAGTCCCATGCGAACTTCAACCAACCACGTTCATCCAAATTGTTCATATGCAAATTGAGTAATTACTAGAAATTACCCTTTTTACCTTATGTTAGTCAGCTTGTAATCATAACAAGCTAGAATTTAATTTCATGTTTCAAAATTAACTACGTGATGCAAATCCCTTAGCGCCTGGAATGTAGCCTTCGTCATAGTCATCACATATTCTCTCTCCGTTGCATTAGCAATCATTAATTCTCATCAAGTAATTACTTCAGGGGATGAATCGTCTCTGAGAGTGTGAATATGTGATGTGAGAAACCAGCAATCTACTGCTCATCAATTTTCGCACATGAGTTTTCAAAAATAGTCTTAATATAACAAGCTTTTGAGTAAAGACTAAATTCTCAGCATGTATTTTTTTTCCACTTGAATTACAATGATTGTGGTTTTACCAAAGATAATAAATAGCAGAAGATAAAGCAGCTTCCCCAATATAATGGAACGTCCGTTCGAAAGGCATTGTGGGTTCACGGAGAGCAATTTTACTACGTCCGCGCGGTGGCGCTATATAGCAATAATAAAGGCGCCGCTCTGGTTCATTTGTTTCCTGTAGTTTCTCCACTTAGTAAAATGGTCAAATTTTGCCCCATTCGCAGGAGGGCAGATGTTCCATCAATTTTAATACAAATACGTGGAGCAGCGCATTCTTCTGCTATTTAAGTTCTTTGGTTTTACCCATCACAGACGTCTTTCATTAAACTTGATCACTTTCATGTTCTCTTGATCGAAAGCTTCAGGGATTATTATTTGGCAGTTGTGATTAAAAACTTGTTGCCGATAATGTGTTCCCTTAAATTCCTCGCACACTTTAGAAGATTGGATTCTCTAGCTTTTCTTAAGGTGGAAGCATAACGCCCACAATAGAAATTATAAAATTCCATTAAATTTACAATATATGGATCCGTATAATAACGTAGTTATCTTATCAAATAATACAATTAATAAACTGTATATTTCACAGAAACAAGAAATTAATTTTATCAGTCTGATGTATGTGGATTTGATCTTTTTTCATATTCATATCTGTACGCTCCATAGACAAACAGACATTGACGTATTATTTTTTTATTTACCGTTGTTAATATGTGGTAGTGGGGGCAGTGTGACTATGGCGTTATTGTCGCAGTGTGGTACTGTATAGTTGTTATCTCTATCTTATCTTTTTTTATATGTTATCAAAATTATTATGACCCTTTTGATTTTTTTAAGTGACTACATGTCGTTCGAGTAATTTAGTGTATATTTTGTGGTTTATGAACTATTGCAGTTCGAATCCATTTTAAATTTAACCATTCTGGTTAGGTATATGGCAACAAAATCATAATTTTAATCATCACACTTTGTAAGAATCATTGTTACCTGTTGGGTGAAAAATGTTTTTTGATACGTCGTCTCCTGTGTTACGTACAATGTCATTGTTGTTTGAAAGTGGTACACACTGCAGCGGTTGTCAAATTTGTTATTAGGGAGTTTTCGATATGCGTAATGACGCGAATCTAGAACGTTCCTACGTTCTCTGCACAACGTCGATTTGGTCAAACTGAGTCCTAGAATCCACACGATGAGGAGAACTTGCCATTCTCGCATGCGCAAATGAAATATTAATGACATCCTTACGTTTTAGATTCTACCACGTCGTGCCATCGAAAGCTCCCTAATGGTTTGTCTGAGTGCTTGCCCAATGCACTGCAAAACCACTGACCATCTGTGATAGTCTAAAGCAGATAGTTGTTAATATACTTCATAAATATTAATTTGGTAATAACAACATCTCTTGTGCATGCCAATTTTATGCAGACACGGAGAAAAAAAATACTACCCAAAATTGACTACCGCACCTCCAGCTATATGAGCTGTATGCAAACAGTGTAATTTTACACTCATAGTTCCAAATGGCTAATGTAACTAGATCCGATGCAGGATTTGGCTGTAGGGGGTGCGTGAGAGTCCATACCACCTCAGCCGCACCATGGTTGGGGCTGAGGTTGAGGTGTGAACATTTTGAGAAAGTGGACCTCTAGGTGCCCAGAAATTGCTCTATCATTGCGATTGCACTGTCTGCAACCCCCTGCATCCAACCCAGTGTAAAAAGGCAGTTTGCTGCCTAATATTTATGAAGTATATAGTAAAACAAATACAACAAAGTATTATTTTGGTAAAGCAATGAATTCTACCTCAGTGTTGGATGATTTTAAACTACTTCGTCAGAAGGTAGTTCCACTCATCCAACACCTCGAGAAGTAGAAGTAATTATTTCACCTCAAACCATGTTGTATTCGAGTCATGCAGTGCATCCAGGGCTGCCAAGAGGGGAAACTGTAACAGGGGCAAGGGTTGGTATGGGCCCCCAATTACGCCAAAGGCGCAACAAATTTTTTGGTGGGCCCTGTCAATCTGGAGGGGCCCATTATTAGGGGACCCATGTCATTATTGAGGGCCCATGATAGTAATTATTATTTTTGAAAAAAATATTGAAAAAAAAAAATGCTACCTGCAATTTCTATGTTCCCCCTGGTAAGCTTGGGCCCCAGAGATCTTCCCCTTCTCGGTTGTACTGAATGCATCATCACAACATATGGCATTGTGTAAGTTTAACTATTCAACTGTAGCTCTTTAGTTTTTGAGAAAGTAGTCACATCAGGTGAAACTGGAGGTAAAACATAATGTCCTTTAAACCAAATATAGGAATCACTGTTGCGAAAAAAAATTTCATTTTTTTATTTTTATTTATATTTTTTTTTGTAGACAAGAGTAGGCTGATACTACCAATATGTTGAGCTTACATGTAGGCATGAAACCTGAGATCTATAGACTCCCTTGTTTGTAGTATGGTCTTCGGTTTCTAGTACAACGGTTGAAAATAATCATGTGATGCTGTAGTGCTACATTGATGCATACATTGCATCGTATGCAAGTCTTATTATTGCAGCCAAAAACCAGCTTTTACTAGATTCAGGGGGCGGATCCAAGGATGTCC